AGTAAGAGTGCAGGGCTGAACTGAGACATTGCTTGTGGGGAATTGGCACAGGATCATTTCCTGGAGCGAAACGAGCCTCCAGGAACAAAGAGCAGGTGGCAGGGAAGTGTGGCTGCTCTCCTCTCCAGGGACCCACTAACGAAAGGTATGCATAGGAAATCAAGATTTGAGCATAGTTGTACAAGCCATTCACAGACCCAGCATATGTGCTGGAATGGCTACCCCAGAGCTATCCAGAGTGGAGATTATTCTCTTCAGTACTCTGATATTATTGCTTGAGCCAGTTACATGGGAGTACTCAGGCATGAACCATCCCTTGTGAGACAATGTGGACAAGCCCTACAGAACTGAAAAGTCCAGAGACTGAGGAAAGTAACTGGGGAAGATGAAAGAGAGATGGAGATGAGGACTGGAGAAAAGGGCAAGCCTGGGAATTGAGAATAAGCTCCTAATTCACTGCAATGAATGTCAAGCAATCCTGAATATAAGGATTTAATTTTTTTCTCTTAAATTGACAAAATCATCCTAATCTCCAATATTCAGGATGATGTAGCAAAGCTTGGTGGCCCATGTGGTTATATTTCAGCTATTGAATAGACTCTACAGAGGTTGATCTATTTGGTGAGAAATTGGGGGAATGCAGAGATAATTACTTGGCAATACCAGAGGATGGAAAAGTATCCTCAGAGGCGGTTGCTATGGCTTGTCCTATATCCACACCTTCCTGTAAATGTCCTCTACTGCCCAGGATCAGATGTGGAATAGGGGAGTTTGATGTGATCTGGTGTGAGTTTTCATACGCTATTGTGAATGGAGACTTTTATAATATGCCCTCACCAGGGAAATGTGGCACCTGACTGCTTTTAGACATGGTCTGAGTTGTTTGCAGTTAAGTAATTTTTGTAGTTTTGAGGCTCTTGTAACTTGACGTAAGGCTAGTAATGTTGAGGAACCAAAAGTGATTTGCATCTGCTGATAAAATGACCATTAATTTTTTTAAATAATGTTCAAGATAACTTTTTTATGTTAGGCTCCAATGATATGTTTACCAAACGGTAGGGCAAGAAGTAAGAAAAGGAGATAATGAATTTCCAAAACATGCAGAGAAGAAATACTGACAAAATTTTTTTGAAATAGAAATAATTTATTTCACTAGAGGTAAATAGTGTCTGACCTTGAATGGAGGTCAAACTCCTGTCTGGCCAGTTCATCTGGGTTTTGTTAAATTTAAAAAGGAAAAAAAAAAATCCACTTACGGATTAATTGTACTATGATCATATCACATACTGTGGTGACTTTGCAGTGAAAGAACAGACACTACAAAGCAATACTGATTTCTTTTTCTTGAATGGAGTTAAAATGGCACAAGAGAAACATGGCTTCTAGGGAGAGGCAGCATCTTTTCTTAGATGAATTGTTTAAGTTGGAAAAACTGTCTAATGGAAGATTCAGATGAGAGTGAAAATACTCTGATCCCATATAACAAAGGCAATAGGAGCACATAATTAGCTGAGGACATCCACTAATGCACTGAGAGGGGAAAAAAGTGACTGCTAAAAACTTCTAGAAGTGCATAGGAACTCAAACATGAATAAGGACTCTCCTATGGTAGGTGCCAACAAAGTAATCAAAATCTAAAGAATGAACAGGAAATATAAGCAGAAAATGTTAAGGTGGTGTAACAGTGCTAATTAAAAAAAATACTAAAACAATCTTATGTGCACAATAAGATTTTTTTGTGCTTTAACTCTCAAACTAGAAATATTGGACTTTTTATTAAATATCTTTCACTGTGCTTTTACAAAATATAGTCATTAGTGTAAGAGTACTGGTGACTGGGTAGAGCACATCTTCCAAAATGGTGCAGAATAACACCATGCAGATAAATGTTGATAAATGTTTAGAGTGAGACTGGTGTTGGAGCTGGATGCTTGGACAAAAAACATGTAGGGGTTAGCAAACACTAGGCTCTGTCAAGAAGCAGCGCTGACCTCATGCAGCCTGTTAGCTCTCCTTTGCTGCTGGCTCTGTGCATGAACTGATGCTGTTTTCTCTACTGTCTGGCTAGTGCTGATATGTTTAATTGGAAGCAGCACAGGGCACCTCTGGAGAATGAAAAAGAATAGAAAGAATGACGATAGTAACACTGAGAAATAGAAGCTGACAGAGGTGAGGCAGAGACACAGGATGTAAAATCTTTCAACTCGAAGTTGTAAGTTCAAATTTTGGGAAAGAGCACTAACGACTGGCTGCAAGTTATTTATATCTGGAAGCCTACTTGAAATACGCTTTTGTCTTGAAGATCTCAAATAGCTGCAATACCTATTGGTGGGACACGAACACATGGATAGATAAGAAGAGCAAAGCTCTTCCACATCCTGAATTACGGTGTCCTTAGGGAATGACATGGAAACATAGTGATGGGGGTCAGCTGTGGAAACCTGCACTGCACATGCTGTGATTATTGCCTCGAAAACACCATGTATATGGCGCCAAGGCAAGCACAGCTTACAGAAGCACTGTAGACTGCAACCCTTCCACAGTATATCTTTGACTTTAGTACTACTATGTCGATTAGACTCCTCTAGCCCTGCCGCAAGGCGCATCTCTGCCCAAGGGACTACTTGCAAACCTTCTTTACTACAAAATATACATATTCCCAAGTCTATAATGCCTCTTGTATAGTGTGGATGGGATACCTCGAGTGATTTCTTGTAACCCTTTCAAAAGTAACATAAATGATGGAAAGAATTTAGAAGAACAAGGTAAATATTTATGAACTTTTGTTATAAATCAGCTGTCTTGTAATTTCTCTCTTTCTCTTGTAATTTCTCAAGACTGTACTTCCACGCATGTGATAAATGACTTCATTGCTCAGCTTGGATTTTGGTGCAGTTGTCTACACAAGCTGTCTAAACAGAGGCAAGGAACTAGAGACCTTGGAAGCTTTGAGATTCTCATGTAAGTTAGTGAAAGAAAATTGCCTAGCTTTCCTTTCATATATATGCTTCAAAAAAAAAGAGGTCCTTGCTTTCTTCACTTGCAATATAGTTTCCAGTCACAGTTTTGTCAGGGAAATTAGACTGCAGTTTCTAAAGATGACCTCTTGTTTTCAGGTTTGCAATCAGAGTGGTATGAGCCCAGAAAAAGGGGAATGGATCACATAATCTCAACTGGCCAACAGAAACAAACATATTCACTGTCTCAGCCAGGGAACTGTGCAAGTTCATCGTAAAGTAGAAAAACTCCCATGATGGAAAGAAGGGATGATCATCTTGTAGTGATGCATGTCAAGTTTAAATCAAGGCTTCTGCCACAAGCGTGGCAGGCTTCAAACACTACATTTTATCTGCAATTCATGTTGCTTCAAGGTACTAGCAATTCTAAATCAATATTTTGGCTGCATTTTGGAATGCAATGCTGCCGTAGATACTGAGCCAAATCTCGCTCTTAGAATTAGATAACTATGTGTACAAGAGGAAGAAATATAGTTGATTTTATATTCCTGGCTGGGATAAAGCTTAATAAACTTATTTGTATCTCCTCTTCCTGCTTGTTGCAATGAATTTCAATATTCCTCTGTCTTTTCATCATAATAAAGTCACAGTATCCTCCTTTAGGATTTTTTTTTCCTGACATCCTCCCCTCCAAAATCTCATGAAATGGTATGGAATGTTCCTTATGAGCCTACGGAAAGAGCTTTTTATAGGAATTTTGCAAGCACTTAGGTAACTAATGAGACACCTAAGGCTGTTGATGGAATTTCCTTTGCATCTATTGCAAGTACATCCAAATGATCTGTCTATGGTTTCAGCAGTCTCTCTGAGTGGGCAGCAGGTAACTTGACCCATGCAGAGCTCTATTACTAAGATTCAGCTAGGATGAATTACACCTCAGGCAAATCACACCTCCCAAACTCTTTTAAAATAATTCTCACTTTTTCCATCCATTACAATTTTCTGCAATGTTGCGAAATCCCCTTCAAATTTTTGCTATGATGGCAAAGTTTGTATTTCATGAGGTTGTCAAAAGTGACTTTCTAGATGAAAATTCAGCTTTGACAGCCGTTCTGTAGCCTGGTTTGTCAGGGAAACAAGGCGTATGAGCTCATGCAGTTGGTCTGTCTGTCTCCCACTAAAGACCACTGAGCTAGTTGACTGCTTGTGACTAGTTCTGGTGGGATACAAGCAGGAACTGACAGTCAGTTTTCCCATTGTGAGCTGCAAATGCAGGAAATTACTTCAAGGGATAGATGCAACTGCAATCTGCAGGGAGCAGGAAGAAAGGCTGTGTGTACCATGTGGGCTATGGCCGACAGGATGGCAGATACAGCTTTCCTAGCAGAGCTACTTCTTAGACTTGACTCTTTCAGCTTAATAAAAGGCTTTCTCTTGAAGTTCTTTGCTCGGGCATCACTTGGTATTATAGAAACCGAGAAACCTCTCTTTTACCAGGCTGGCTTGCTTTACTGTCATTAACCAAGGATTTCTGTAGGCAGGAGTCATCTTAGTATTGTTTGCTTTTATCAGTAATCTTTATAAATAGACATAGCCCCTTGACCAAATCCAATCTTATTTCAAGTGAATTTCAGGTGAAAAAAGTAGTACACATGTGAAATAACTCTACTGACACCAGTGAAATGAAACATTAAATTGGTGTAAATATGAAGAGAATCAGAAGGACTAGGAGGGCTATTGCTACTGCTGAACTTGTTTTACTCCTTCTCAGATTATAAGGCCCCACAGTCTTTCTATAATAAAGGCAGGCAAAGATTTTGTTTTGGAGGTATTTTTACTGAAAGATAGGACATTCAAATTTTGCAACTCTGATGACACCAGTCCAGACTTCCAGGACTGAGAACAGCAGCTCATCTGGGAAACAATTTTTTGTGGTGTATTGGAGTCCATGTCAAGTCCTGTTTAAATCTTACCCATGCTTTACAAACTCAGGAGCATTCCTAGTTCCAAGCCTGTAAGCCAGCAGGTCTGCACTTCTCCTACCTGTTTGTGAGGATAAACATTAATGTGGCACTTGATACATTCTTGTCCCATGTTAGCCCAGGAGTTTCCACTCATCCATTTTCTCTTGCATTTGGGGCACTTATATTCACCGAAGCAGCGTTTCTTGCCCTGGTATGGAGTCAGGCCTTCTCCTTTTGGACGAGCCTACAAAACAACGGCAAGTAGCAATGAATGACCAAAAAGGGGTGTGGGAGAGTAGTGGAGAAGTAAGTCTTTTTAATTAGGAAACTTTGGGCAGAAGATACTGGAGGCAGACATGAAGGTCATATCTCCTTAACGAACAGTTCATATATTAAAGCTAGAGTTTAACAGTTCTGAGAGTTAATCCTGTAAGAAGTATTCAAAAGTTCAAGACGACTTGTAAGTGACACTGAACATAGTATTTAGAAATATGCCCATGCACTTTTGGCAATGAATAGTTTTAATATCCATTTCATTATGATAAGATTATCTCTATTGAGTACATACTGCTAGTATTATATATAGCATCTGGAGAAGTAGCTCACTAGTAAAGGACTGTATTTCTTAACTAGATCCTTGTCTATTCCGCACTAGAACCTATCATTAAGAAAACTTTTTATGATTCAGCTTTGTACAGCCTCTAAACAATGAAATATCGGCAATCCATTAGTATGTGGATATACATTATTATATGGGAGTGCACAAACTGGGATTGAGGATGAAGGAAAGACGTGTCTTTGATTAGTGGAAATCATTAATTTAATGAACTTCATTTGGTCTCTTGCTCTTGGTAAATGGTTTCACGGATTTCTACATTTTGAAGGAAATAGGAAGGGATTCTCAAGCGGACTGTTGTGATGTCTAAATGTTAAATGTCCCCTGAAGAAAGCCTTTTTATCTAGGGAAGCTAGTAGAGTAGACAATGACCTTAGGCAAATACCATTTTTATTTTTTCTAAACAAACTCACTAAAACTGTGTGTTGTACTTAACAAAAGTATAGTAAGGTACATAATATGCTAGTATGTTAAGGTGAAGATGAGAGTATTGCATACAGCTGTCCTGAAGATAGCTGTAAAGATGAAGCCATTTTCCCAGAGTCTCTAGCAGGTGTTGAAATACTGCCCATGTATTCACTGTGTTTTATTTACTGGTGCCCAGAGGGAGACACTTTGCCTGTATAGGGGCAGAATGGTATGATCACCTATCAAAGGATTCTTTGTCATTTATTTATGTCATGCCTCTGCGGCTTTTTTTTTTAAGGTTCCCAGATGAAGTTTACAAAAGTTAAATGACCCGTCATGCTGGGAAGGAGTTTGTTTTTGTTTCGGGAGCTTGTACAGTTTCTCAGTGTGTGTAGGTCCAAATTGTTTTCTATGTGAAAACATGGGTTGAAAAAGCAGGTGGTTGGCAGAAGACCTGAGCTTGGCAGGAGCTCTGAGACTCGCGCTCCCGTGGCTGATGGAGATGGTGTATGCTGTGTTACCTCCAGGGTCGCACGTGGGAGCAAGCAGGAAAGGAACATCGAGTGCACTCCACCCCGCTCGCTGGTGGGTGGAAGAGGAGCAGGAGGACCCCAAACCTACTCTGGCCTCTTTTTTTTCTGGAGTGTCAGTAAACAACGTTCTCTATTTTTCATGCTTATTCCTCAGCATAGCAATATTCTTCTTTAAAAGATCAGATGCAGTAGCAACCTCCATTAAAAATAGGCAAACCTCTACAATAATTTGCTTCATGACACTCAATCTGACAAGCCACTGTAAGTATTCTGGCTCATAGCAAAGATGAAGCTGACACTAGGACACACATATTTACAGAAGTATTGCACAGAAGAAAAAAAAGTGTTCATTGGTATAATGAGAAACATTTGGACTTCCATGACTACATGAGTGCTGGCAGGCACCCAGAGTGTAATCTTCTGATCCATGGTGTCCCTTGATAAGGGTGGGAGATTGTAATTGAATGTAGGTTAGCAAAATTTATGGAGACATCTTTATTCTGGACACTTAATTTGTCTCTGCCTCTGAGGAATTTGTAGCACAACTCAAGTCAGTGTAAGAAGGAGCCACATGCTCTCTTCATTTAGAAATTCTCATGGAACTGAATAGGAACTCTGTGTACAGAGAGCTCCCATGATTGAGAGATGTTCCCCCTCCTCCTGAGGCATCACAGATTGCTTTATTTGTAGTTTCAATTGGGGCTACGTTATTGAACAGAAGACGAGTTATTTCAGATTTTCAGTGGCACTCTACTTAAACTCCTCCTGCAGTCAGACCTGGAAATGCAGCTTCATTTCCCCTACTAAGAAGCAGTCCTTTCAGAAAACGTGCAGGTCACTGAGTGCACTATTTCCAAAAGTAATAGCACTGACTTTGGAGACAGAGGGTGTCTGAGAAGTCTTGTAAATGTTTACGAACAGTATTTAAACATAACACTCCCACTGCAATATGTTATGCCAGCCGTGAAAAGCATTTAAACATCAGACTCCCTCAGCAATATGTTGCGCTAGCCACAATTCACAGACAGGGGAAACTTTCAGAGATGGCCACTTTGTGCGAGCCGATAACTGTAGGTTTCTGCAGGTCAGGTAGCTGACTTCAGAGATGCCAATGCCCTGAAATGCTCTGCCCTCACAAATGCACAGGAGGGCACTGAAGATGTTAATTGGTGAGGTCCTCTGTGTGTACAGCTGGGCATCAGAAATGGAGGCTTTCCAAATTAGAAGCTACTTTTAAACTTTGGCTTCTCCAACTTGCTCGGTAAATTGGAAGCAGAACCAGGAAAAGAATGTAGGAGCCCTGACTCCAGCGGTAATTTCCTGTTATAATTGCTAGACTAAACTTCTGATTTATTTTTATTTTGACTTTTCAGCTGTCACAGCTCCCTCCTCTGTCAGTGACTTTAATTAGTTTGCTGGCAAAGCTACAACATTCTCCGTAGGTGTTTTGCTGTTCTGCTTTATGGATGTTTATACTTTGCCCTAACAGATACTATTTTCCTTCCCGTATCTTCAGTTTCCCAAACTGTGCCCCACAGGGCATTTGGATTCTCAAACAAATAAGCTTATTTTCTCTAGTGAGAAACATCATTAGGAAGCACTGACAGCAGCGAAGGCAACTCTCCAACTACCTCCACCCTTCAGGTCCAAACAAAACAGGTATTTGACAGTATTTGGTGGAAGGCAAAACCTGAGTGAGATACACTAATGGCCTGAGAGGTCTGAGGCTGGGTGTTTTCTTTGGGGTTTTTTTTTTTTTTTTTTTTTTTTTTTTTCTTTTTTCTTTTTTTTAACTGTCTGTGGCTTCAGCAGCAGCACAGCTGAATTGCATAAACATTTCCAAGAAACAGCCTGCTCCTTGGCGCAGAAGCAGCCAGCCCTGCCCGGCAGGGTGCTCGAGCACCCGGTCGCTCTGCGACAGAGGTGTCTCAGTGCTCATCCAGCTGGAGGGCAAGAACTGTTTTCACCAAAGGTTTTTCTTAACTGAGTGCTAAAAAAGAGCAAGAAGACACATTTTGTCTTTTGGTATTAACCTAGAGGCTCTTATTTTACAAAATGAGGGATTTACCTTGTTTAAACCATTAACCTCCTATTCCCTCCCCACCCTAGCTTGATTTGAATGGTGTTTAATAGTAAACCTCAGTTGATGTTTAGGTCCTGCAATTCCCTCACTGAGCATTATCTTTTCTTACTCTTTCTGCAGATAGGGATTTTTTTTATGTTTCGAGTTAACCTGGCAAAGTTATGCCCCTATTCAGAATGGCAAAACATGTTACCTTGTTAACATATGTTGTCCCGTTGCCTTTAGGCTCAAGTAGTCTTTGTCCTGGTTTCTACCCTTGGCTGTCAAAGCTTGGTGGAGCCTCCATCTTATCATGTTTGAAATAATATTCAAACTAGGTTACAAACTGTAATGTGAACAAGGTTTTTGTTTTCAGCATTCTTTTTGTCTGGGTAGTTGACAATTTCATGCTTTAAATGCTGATTTGATAGGCGTACTCCGTAAAACCAAAGCTCCCAAAATTTCTCCTGCTATGTGACTACATGGCTCTCCAACAGCTATATGTATCTTCATTCAGACACTAGGAAAAATTTCTTTACTGAAAGAGTGGTTAAACATTGGAACAGGCTGCCCAGGGAAGTGGTAGAGTCACCATCCCTGGAAGTATTTAAAAGACATGTAAATGAGGCGCTTAGGGACATGGTTTAGTGGGCATGGTGGTGTTGGGTTGACTGTTGGACTCGATGATCTTAGAGATCTTTTCCAACCTTAATGATTCTATGATTCTATGATTTCAAAGATTATTTAATGCAGCCAGGACAGGTAGTCTTTGAGGATGATCAAAACCGAACAGATTTTTTGAGAAGAACCAGAAACTAGCTATTACTTGAAGTATGTCTCAATGTCCAGATCTAGGCCTACATAACAGATTCTTTGTGCTGCTTTGACTTTGGAAATCAGCACGGGATTTGCAGAAGGGAGCGCCTTCCTTCCCCAAGGTACCCTTGGGCTGGGAGCTGTGGTGGCCCAGCACCCCTTCCCTCCTCATGGCCCTCAGGCACAAACTGAAGCCAGTCTTGGACTGGTGGTGTTAGTGCTGAGGCTGAAGGGGACTCCCTCTGGCCTTGAATTTGGGAAGCAGCGTGGATTCTGTAAAAGCCCTTGCCAGGCCTTCTGTCCACTAGCAGTTAGCCAAACGAAAGGACCTTGCCCTCTGATTCATGAGACAGCGATACATCACCTCGATCTTCCAGACAAATGCTAAGACAAATGAAATAATCTTTGCAGGTTTACCTAGCCAGTGCACGTGTTTGCTTTAGCTAGATCCAACGTATATACAAAGCCGGCATTTTCTGTGTGGCACAGCAACAAAAATGACATTGATAATTCCATCCTTCACTGACACCCAGCTGTCTCTATTTTTCATCTTCTTCCTTTCTTCAGCCAAAACCACAAATTGGCCATAATAAGACTTCAAAAGTGTTTAAGTTGAGCTTTTCTGCTGGCAACTGGCCAGCCAAGCTCTCTCACAACCTATCAGATTGTGCATCTCATGGAGGAATCTGCCAAATCACTTGGCAGTGACGGACATAATAAAGGACTCTCTGCTTTCCCCAGACAATTCTCTCAAAGTATCAGTTTGCAGAGTCAGCAAAAACAAAACAAAACCCCCCACATGCCCTGCT